TACTTTGTTGTTTTGTCAGTTCATACTTACACATAACTTTCAGTTCCAGAAATAACTTTTTACAACTCAGACGTCATTCGCTACGTGAACTATGTAATTCTTGAAATTGTTAGGTTGTTATCAGCTGTAGCGATATGACAGCGAGGGCGTGGGCGGGGGAGGTGTGCGTGTGACGTCATCGGTTCTGACGTCACACCACCCCCTCGTGGTCGGCACACGTCTGGCTCTTGTTCGCTTTTCCTATTTTCAGTCAGTGCAAACGTCACGTGATTCGTTTTTTATATAACTGGTAGTTATGTGATGTTGCGGTAACTTTCGGTATTAGCGAGCAAAGGTTTTTAAGTAAGTCGAGCTTAGTAGCTAAAAACTTATGAATCAATGTGTGAATTTTTGATATTTTCCTATTGCTTAGATGGGTGGACGAGCGCACGGCTCTAGTGTTAAATGAATACCGATGCCGATGTTATTCCTTCATTGTAGACGTCGTTCGTGAATATTCGTTAACTTTTTTTTTATTGCTAGATGGGTGGACGAGCTCACAGCCCGCCTGGTGTTAAGTGGTTACTGGAGCCCATAGACATCTGCGACGTAAATGCGCCACCCACCTTGAGATATAAGTTCTAAGGTCTCAAGTATAGTTACAACGGCTGCCCCACCCTTCAAACCGAAACGCATTACTGCTTCACGGCAGAAATAGGCAGGGCGGTGGTACCTACCCGCGCGGACTCACAATAGGTCCTACCACCAGTAATAACTACGCATTTCATTAGAAAAATTGGTACCTGTTTGCGGGATTCGAACGCCGACACATAGCTGGAAACAAATGCAACAGACGTCTTGTCCTTTAGGCATTGACGCCTTCAAAACGATTTGTAAAACAACAATTTGTAAAATTACTTAATTCCTTTTTGCGATACCGTATATAATAGCTCACTGAAACATTCCGTAGCAAACAGTGACAGAGTGAGCAATTATAGTGACAGGGTGAGCAATTATAATTTAGTGTAATTTAGGCTCTCAAATCGGAAGTTCATTGACCACTATGTTTTCTCTTTTAACTTTAAAGCTCAGTAGATTAAGCTTCAGCGATTTGTTCTTTTTATTATAATCAAGACATAGGAGTTAAAACGTTATATTAAGGATAAGCAATTAAGACTAGCTCTTACGTTCATTTATTACTTATAAAGACAGACATTCTTACGGTCCAGCTGATGATGACGGTCGGTTATGAGCATCGATAATTTTAAGGAGGCATCAAAGTCGAGAAATATGTATATTCAAGCCCCCTTTGAAGGTAAACTTGTCGCAGCTTAGAAATAGCACTGTGAATGAGCACAATGGCTCCAGGTAGTAAGGATGAACTAACCTGTAGGCAGCTGGTGCGGTAAAATAGTTTTAAAAATTGTTTCTGTATATTGAACTTATTTGCATTATATAGGTATGCATACACATATGTACATACATGTAACTTACATAATTAATGTAATAAGTACAGCTTACACATTAGAATTGAATTTTTCTATGAAAATTTTGTGTTAAGTCGTCATAAAACTTAGCAACGGTATGTTGTAGTTCTGGTGACATATAATTAATTGGTGATTGGTTTTTAAGCTTTTTAAACATAAACACTATTATTTAACAGGTTTTTACCATGAATTTACGTTATGTGAGTTCCCGATATTTGGGCATTGTTGAAAGCGCCATGATCAATCAGTCCGTAATGTTTACGAGGTATTATTGTATGAAGTAGTACCATCGAAATCGTCTTACGATTACCTGTAATTTTAGCTACTAATTAACCTATTGAGGTATGCCTCAATAAATTTTGTTTATCGAGTCAACAGATAAGGCGTTTTTGACTTGAATCTATTTCTGTAACGGAAACCTTTCAACGTAAGGTTCGTAAACTTCAAGACGTCAGATTAATTTGAGCATTTCCACAAATATTAGGTACTGATGACAAAATAGAAATTTTATTGTCTGGTAATTTATTATGAAGACAAATTACATTATTACTGCTTCCCTCCTTAAAGGTGGAATTCATTTATGTAATTATTATTTATTTAATTAATTTATTAAACAAATTTCAGAAAGACGTTGGCCATAAATTTATGCATTTATTTTGTTTTAATTGTAAACGTGTTTTTTCTGAGGTTTTTAATTTTTATTGAAATTAGTATTTTATAAAAAGGCTATTATTATATTGTGTAGCTGCTAAGTAAAATAGTGGTAGATCTAGTCCGTATGAGCTTACCGAACCACTTAAACTTTAGGAAGAGAACGTGAGCAGAAATACAGACCTAGAAAGAAATAGTATTATGGGTACTTGCTCGAGAATTTTATGGTCGCACGTCTTTAATATCTGATCACGAGCCGTTCATACTTTTATTTGAAGTTGTTTTAGGAGCCCGTAAGTACTATAACTTAATTTAAGATCTGACCTACACTGAAACAGGAACGCGCGATTGGTTCCAGACAGAAATAGACGGGACAGCGCTACCTATTTGTACTTGCAATACGTGCTGCGACCAATAAAAACTGTGCTCCATTAATGAAACATAAGTAATTTATATGAATCTAACGGTAGCCGTTATTTTTGTTATTCTAACACGAACAATGCGCATCAAGATTAGTGTGCAAATCCAATAGCGTAATAATATTTCTTGTCCTGTTATTTTCATGAAGTATTAATGTTTTTTCGTCCTGAAAACTACGTGAGTAGCGGAAGTTCGCAGACATTCAGACGGCAGGCAAGGGCGTCCTTGAAACCGAACGTGCGGGTCGATGAGTGACGTAACGGTGTGGCTACGTCACGGGTATCCAGTGCAGCCTCGCCACCCTCACCGCCGCGTCGTTAGAACCCCCCTGCTTTTCTTATTTTTGGAGTCCGTGACGTAATAGTCGCTTTTAACGTTTAATATTACTGTTACTAGGAAACAATTGCTATAGCTTTTTATATGTATCGTTTGTTTGTAGGCATATTAAATATAAATCTTCGTATGCGGTAAGTAGGATCGTTTTGAAAATTGAGTTTTGTGGATAAGGCAGATAAACCAAAATACTAATTTTATGTCGAATAAAGTTTTTGTACGCCTTTTTATTTATCTATTATGTGAATTCCGTTACTGGCTTGAGACATGATATCGAAGCTTCAATTTTTTTTTGTACAACTCCTTATATGTATTTATTTGATTCAATGCTATTCGAATTTATAGTTTTTGTTTTTCAATATTACCACTGATGTCACCTACATAAAATTTCAAGAATGTGTTCACTCCTGTTTAATAATTGCTATATCAAAAAGTTTACACTTACAGCGACCCATTCGTTGTACTTTAAAATAGGCGGTTTGGCCTTGGAAATAGTATGGCTATACATATAGGCTAAAGCCAGAGAATATCCCACCCGGGGGGGTTGCAAAGTGAGAGTGACGCGTGCAGGGTCGGTACACGCGGGCCGTGACGTCAGGGCTGCCCCAGACTGATATATTATTATAGCTTCATGTACATCCTATCATACAGAACGCTTTCAATTTCCGTTATATTGCAATAAAAGAAAGTAACTGATTTTAATGTTCATTTCTTTTTAAGAATCGTCCTACCTAAAATAAGTAATTACATTTTATTATTATAGATACAATTAAGTCTCATATTGAACGTGAATTAACAGTCGTAGAAAACTAAGTGAAAGTAACAAAAGTATGAATATTAATTTACGACTATGGATTGTAGTGCAGTTAGCACATTTCGACAGAACACGTACTAGACTTAGACTGCGTATGTATGTTTGGTTATACAGATGTAAAACGGCGTTATGTGACAATTTGCAGTCTCGCATCTGGGCAGGTGCAACGTCTGCCGGTTGCGACAACTGATTGGGCAAGTGGCAGTGGCATGCTGAGGCCGTCGGCTTCTCTGACCGTCCATAAACATCCTGCATTATATTCTTAGTTACCTAACCTCGACCGAAACGAATCCACTGAGAATTTTTCGATTAGTGTCCATAAAATACCAGCGTGTCTGAGGTTTTCATAAAATAATACTTATTATGATTATACACAGTTTTATGACACTTTCGTATGTAGTCCGTTATAAAGAGTTAACTCACACAGAAGAGCCTCGTCTTAACGCAATATTCATTTTGGAATGTGTTTCGTCAGAACTTATTTTGTATAATATTTGTGTAACTATCAATCATTAATAACTTAAGCATTTATGAAGGCTTTATTCGGAGGCCTTATTTGTCTCATTATGCATATTTTCAGTTGACAAGACCAAGATTATTTATATTTATTTACGAATTCGACAACAAATGCATTGATAGTATGTTTGTGTTTAATTTAAAAAGGAAGAAAGCTCAGAACTATGCCAGCTTGACTTAACGAGTTTGCTTTATTAGAGAAAAAAAAGTTTCATCTACACACAACGCAACGTGAGCTTTTGTTTATTGAATATTTAATCAGATTTTCATAAAAAATCACAGTAGTACGGAATTCATTGAATACATAATTAAAATATGGATTAACCTCTCAATTATTGTATTGATTCGTGAACGAATAAGGTTTTTTCTTGTCGAACGAATGCCTAATATTGAAACTCTAACCTCCATGCATAAAACTTTAAATGACCGTGACCACCAGGTAAATAAAAATAAACGCGATATCAAACCGTAAAAGTGTTTTAATCACTCGTTCGACTCGCGAAACGGGTAGATAATATAAATTGAACTTTATGAACCAAGTCAAATGTTTATATATTCCAGCAAAGCCTAAAGTAATTGTTAAGTAAGTAAAATTTCGTTTTTGGTGTTGCATTAATAAGACTTTATTTGTCGGATTATTTTTTTCTGTAATTAAGGAGCGAAGTAATTTTTTTGTAGGAAACACTTTATTTTTAACAGAAACTTTCACAAGGGATGAAAAAATAGAGCAAATAAAATAAAGGATATAAATAAATCGAAATCATAAATTTAACCAAAAATAAAATAAAAAGGGTACATACGTGTGTATTGGAATTGTCTAAGGCCGCAGATTTGGCTGGAGGGCGTCAGCAGCGCACCTCGCATTCTAGCCGATGGCCATCATCACGACAGTTCCACACAGTCTACAACACCCAGAGGTTCTACACAACGAAAGCGAAAATAAACACAGAAGTAGTGGAGGTCGTATCGTGGTGCGGGCGCTGACCTGGCGCAGGCTTTTCGGCTTCCAGCGATGAGGCGCACGGCTCCAGGGTCAAACCGAGGCACGCGCCGGAAAGTCCCAACTCGCTTAGCAGGATCCTCATGCGGCTGAGCACATTCCACTCACTGCACGCGCACTCACTCACTCAGTCAGTCGGTTTTCAGAGCGCGGAGGCAGGTACGCGCTGGCGAACGGTCGGTGCGTTACTGAGGCCGCCGCCGTTGAGCCTGGTACCTATATCGCGCAGTCTGACGTCACGACTGCGACGTCACCGATATGACGTCATTAACGGTACCTCCCACGGTCCGCCCGCCGCCGCCGCCTCGCCGCCCGCCCGAGCCTGCGCTAACGGCACCGCTAGTACGAGCCGGAGCTTTCGTACGCCCGCGTTGCCTCCCGCATTAGCCGTCACAATTACCGCTACACCGCTCCAGACTCAAACGTTTTTTTGCAGCGGAGCTCGTGCTCTTCAATTTCCATTTTATAAACTTTTAAATAAATGCCAAATTTCGAATGCAATATTCTTTCGAACATATTATACCGCATGGCGTCATGAAAAGTTGTTGGGTCATAAATTTGATAATCAATTTTACCTGAGTAAAAAATTCAACATTGTTAAACATATTATTTTACTAATATCAATATTTTAATATCTAGGTAACGTACATGTTATTTAAAAGGAAACAAATATTTTGCCTCAATTATAATAGTACTAGTAGTAGACGAAAGCTAGTAGGTTTAAATATTTAAATTTTGTTTTTAAGAGTGTAAAATTTGGTATCCTTATATCAATTCCTTTTTACAGTAACTCAGTATATTTAATTATATGATCCGAATTTCAATAAATATTTGTTTGATGCTTTCGAATTTGTAAAAAAATAGAAATCCCTGCTAGGTCTACCTAGCAATAGTGAAAGGGGTTAAAAAATTACATATACATATTATCTAAATTTATTGTTCACCGTACCTAATGATTTCAATCATAAAATCCTTCACCGGGTGTTTTACATAATAAAAATCGCAATGTTTAAGTGGCTAGTGAGCTTGACAACCACGGGATCCGGGTTCAGTTCTTGGTAAGAGCCAATACCATTGTGAAAGGTATGGGGTCTGGGTACCTATACTTACTCTCCTCTTGTATGTGTTTCCGAAATTCATAGCAATGTCCGTTGAGCAATGGTGAGGCATTCGTCATTTTATTTATTTATAGTTTATTTATTGTTCACAGAACTTATGAGCGATTAACGAGTTTACAACCGAACAAAATACATCAACAAATTACAAAGGTTCGATTTTAAAAAAACACAGATAAATTAATTTATTGAAGAGACGTATATAAATTCAAATAAAAAAAAACATAAAACATATTACATATATCACTATAGAGAAATTATTTCAGTGAACATAATAACATCCAAGTGTGTAGGAATAGCAAATGTTCCACAGTTAGCATTACAGAAATTAGTGGCCATTTAGTATATTTTACACTTCTAAAATAGTAAATAACCAAAAAGACCGCTAAGCCGCTACATTTCAGTCATGTATGACCACCGGTGACGTTAAATTCGAACATAAATTATTATCATTTTGAGACTGTTATGATATCAATGAGATAGTAAAATGAAAGATCTTATTCCGATTTTTGCGATAATATTTTTTATGGAATAACATTTTTTTTTTGGGAATACCTGAATGTAAAACCGTTGTTATTATTTTATCTAATCCAGAACCCTTAATTGATTGTCGGCAAATCGGAACTCACAATAATAGAAAACGGCTCCGCTATAACCATAGCGTTACTGATATTAATGAACGTTGGCTGCCATTAACAAGCAAGTGGGAGGAGTGCTCCTTTGCCGAAAACACAAATACATACATAAAAATACTAAAAAATGCTAAAATTGAGTTTTAAGTTGATAATTGAAATTTCAGTTTTAAGACATTTTATTTCTAAGAATCTAACCACTCGAACTTGAAAATTTAATTACACACAAAATTGCGTTTACTTTGATGGAAATATTAATTATAGAGGCAACAACCCTTATGTTCAAATTTAAAATTAGAGCCAATGATTTTATAATTAATAAAGTAAATTTGTTCGGTACGTGGGCGTCACCCGGGTTTGACGGAAGATTGTTCTCTTTTTAATAAATCTATATGTACTAATATATAAATCTACAGTGGTTTTTACGGATGTTCCGTTATAACTACTGAACCATACATCCGATTGACTTGAAACTTGGTATCCATGTAGAAAATACATGTATTTAATGGATAGGCTAATATTTATATGAGTGTTGGACTCCCTACACCAATTGCGGGGGCGTTAATTATGAGAATCTTTGTGGGGGTGAGAAATAATAATGTTAATTTTAAATGCCCAGCGAAGCGGACGGGTACAGCTAGTCTGTACGAACAGCAGGTATGAACAGCAATTCATTTTTATATATATAGATATCTATATATATAAAAATGAATATAGATATCTATATATATAAAAATGAATAGCTGTTCGTTAGTCTCGCGCACTCGAGAACGGCTGGACCGATTTGGCTAATTTTGGTCTTGAATTATTTGTAGAAGTCCACAGAGGGTTTAAAAGGTAGATAAATATGAAAATTCCTTTTGTTTGTTTTAAGTTTATTTTATACAAAAGTTTAGGTCTTTTATTTACCGATTGAGGCACTACGAAGTCTGCCGGGTCAGCTAGTAATTTATAAATAAAAAATATTTTTAAGTAAATTAGGTTCTTTCTGTTGTCAATGTTGTTAATAGCACATTCGCTTTAAATTGGTGGTTAACTTGTTTATGTAATAAACTCGTATACTATTTAAAATGTATATATTCTAAAATCAAAAGACTATTATTCCGATAAGTTCCGATCAGTTACAAATCTTTCAAGCGTAGTGGTTGGTCGTGGTGATTGTGAAATAGGAACAAAAAAAAACGGATATCACTTTCTGACGTCACCGTGATTGAGTACCTCGCAATCGTAATGGTTTCCGGTCTTCATACGATTTCCAATTAAGTTCTTGTCTTTTTGCAAATTTACTGTTTTTCAATAAAAAAATACTTTTAACAAATTTTTTTTGCGTAAAATGTACTTTAAAAAAGTTCCTACGTCCAATGATGACGTGCGATTTCTGCGAGGTTCGATTTTATTTACTCTACCTACACACAAAGTATTCTTCTGTATTTCACGGCTTTTTCAACATTCACTCGCAAATTTGTCGGTAACAATTTATTAATTTTACTAATTTATGATGAAATTTCTAGGATGATTCTAAAAGTTTTAATTAATTAACTTTATTAATATATTACTCAGCCTACCTGAGATTAGAGTAGTTTTTTTTGTAATGTTTCTTCATTAATATATTTTAAAGCCTGAGGAATATCCTTAACCATTGTTCATAGGTATACATCAGACTGCGTTTGGCGAAGTTAAATTTTATTTGTAGTTTTTTCAACGTTAATCATTCAAATGAGTTCACGACCCAGTTGATGTTACACGGTAACCAGAGCTCAAGGATACCAGAAGAAACGAACGCGGCCTCTCTCTTCCTCTTTGAGAGATTCGCTCGACCCTCTTCAGATCGAACCAGTGATGGCTTCCTGTTAGAAATAGTTAGGATGAACCTTGGGTGTTCACACCTGTAAATGTCTGAATAAATCTTTTTTTTTATTGCTTAGGTGGGTGGACGAGCTCAAAGCCCACCTGGTGTTAAGTGGTTACCGGAGCCCATAGACATCTACAACGTAAATGCCGCCACTCACCTTGAGATATGAGTTCTAAGGTCTCAGTATAGTTACAACGACTGCCTCCAATTTTCAAACCGAAACGCATTACTGCTTCACGGCAGAAATAGGCAGGGTGGTGGTACCTACCCGCGCGGACTCACAAGAAGTTCTACCACCAGTCACAAGAGGTCATACCACAAGTAAATCCAGGATGAGTAACAGTTTTATGTTTCGATATGTATACTATTAGTTGATGTATCAACATAGCTCATTCAAAAGATTCCTAACACAGATTCCCTGTAGGTATAGCGCTTGGACTCAGGTATAGAAATGGATCGGTGACGCCGGAGCAACCGGCGACGCGTCGTCCATCGCGACGCATCCAGTGTTCCCATTTGGTGCAGTCTGGCCACCGTTTCCGCATTGATTGTAGCCATCGTCACACACGGATACTCTTAGTGCAGTTACATTTTGCGTCACAGGCACGTACTAGTATGACAATATCTAATAAATTTTGGGATATTGGCTAAAACTTCATTCGATTCATCTTTTTACCTTTGTATTTCAACAATAAAATAAAGTTTTTTATAAAATCAATTTGATTGCATGCATGACTTTTAGTTATGTTTCAATAATTAATATAAAATTAAGGATATTATTTCTATAAATTTTATAGAAAAATTACCTGATTCAATAGCAATCGGGTAAGCTTCTTTAGCAACACTATAACTTAAAACTTAATGAAACGGGATGACAGTTGAACACTAAAAAAGCACAAACAACTGTATATTGAAGGTTTCAGTTATATCGTGTGTGAGCTGCACTTTTTATAATGCGCCGATCACTAGTAATAAGGCAAATTATAATTTACTTGATAGTTTAGTTTGATTTTTATAAGAGGTTGTTATTTCTTATTTGTGGAAGTAAAACGCGAACATTTGTGAAGCATGTATTTTTATAGAAAAATTGGTAGCCTGTCTGCGGAATTTAAACACCGGCATGTCTTATCCTTTAGGCCGCGATGACTTAAGACTATTTTTTTTTTGAGTCCTGTGAATCTGTAGTACAATAAATAGAAGACTATAAAGCCTAGGTTGCACCGTGCAGCACTCACTATGGTGATCGAAGGATATGTTATGCAAACCGAACATTGAGTTCTGGGATTGGGACCCAAGTCCACCAGTGGACGAAATCGGGCTTGTGATTGATGTAATAAAAATAAATAATCATTGATACGTATAATACTTTATTACTATAACTATTTAGGGAGAAGGACGCTGCTATAATGTAAACATTTCACTAGGTTTAATTGTGCTGCAAAATTCTATACAAAGCTGTTCATAAAGTTATAGTGCGACTGTTGTAAGTTATATGGTAAAATGAGTGGTTTGAATTTACATGTGAGTAATTATTAGTTTGGCTACCGCGATTGACTATTTCTTAGGATGGCAATTTCGATACTTTAACAACTACGTTCGTATAAATAGTTTTGCTTAGTTATGGCAGCTTAAAATTGTTGTGACAGGTAAACTAATTGTCTGGGCACTGCATTAGGAATTGCTATTTATTGTGTGTTTCGTTATTAATGGGCGTAGGAATTCCTAGTCGTATGGTCATTAAATTAAGGTATAGAATGTACAAGTAAGAGGGCTGATCGGATGGGGGGTTAGTGTCTTCCATGTGATCTCCGGGTCCGTTTCGGCGTATGTATTTGTGGCAGTTACGATTGGTCGCATGCCCCAGTACTATTTCGTTCACAGAACGGGCAAGCGTCCAGTTATTCTAATTTTACATATAATCGATGCCGTCGCATCGTCGAGTCATCGACAAAAGACTTGTCTGTCGAAGGTGTTACGTGATTGGTATTGAAGAAAATTTACAAGATGTTTTGACAAACATGTTTTTATAGACACCAAAACGTGCTTGTATACGTTCATGTAGGAATATCCATCAACAGAAGAATTGGAAATGAACAGTTTTAATGTTTACGTGTATACAGAATGAAATTGACCACTATGCATACTAAGAATTATGTAGCTTTTATGATTTTGTTGTTTTGATAATTTTATACTCACTAATAATTTTATTTAGGTTTCATCGACGTTGCAGTGTTATCTATGTAACGAAGTTTTTTGTCTATTGTAGAAATATGAGTTTACGGTCATAGCCAAGCTGCTGTCTACGGTTTCGCTTTCAACGTTATCTTAAAGTAATCAGAGAAATCAACGATGTTTTTGGATTACGGTAGCTGCACATCGGGTGGCTCAAGAGGGCCTTAAGCAGTCTGTCTATTTATAATGAATATTGAATAATAATAATAAAAGGCCGTTCTACATGTTCGCATTGTCTAAAACTCACGAAGCGTATATTTAAGTGGGTGTAGATTAATTCACGCTTAACGGAATGGAAACGAACTACGTGTACGATATTATGTGAGCTTACGAAGTTGAACTTGATGAGGGGCTTGATTTTATGGAAAAAACAAATCGGTTCATAGCTGTAATTAAAAAAGGCCGTGTTTTTTATTTATTATGTTAGGCCTATATAGTGAGCTATAGATAGATTATAGTTAAAAAAATAGTTCATGGTCTCCGGTTGGTGTTTTAGACTAGAAATCATAAAGCAATGTTACCGAAAAACATCGGAACATATATTGTAGTCATAGTCATTTTTTACTGGTGGTAGGACCCCTTGGGAGTCCGCGCGGGTGGGTACCACCACCCCGCCTATTTCTGCCGTGAAGCAGTAATGCGTTTCGGTTTGAAGGGTGGGGCAGCCGTTGTAACTATACTGAGATCTTAGAACTTATATCTCAAGGTGGGTGGCGCATTTACGTTGTAGATGTCTATGGGCTCCAGTAACCACTTAACACCAGGTGGGCTGTGAGCTCGTCCACCCATCTAAGCAATAAAAAAAAAAAGGCTTTTTAAAGTTATTTCCTGGTGGCAGGACGTTTTGTGAGTCGGAAATTACCCATTTCTGCTGTGAAGTAGTAATACGTTTCGGCTTGAAGAGGGAAGCCGTTGTATTATAAAACTGTGACTTTGAATTCATGTCTCAAGGTAGCCGGCGACATTTACGTTGTTCATGTGAATGGAATTCGCTAACCACTCAACCCCAGATGGGCCATGCCCTCAGCCACCAACCTAAGCAATAAAAATGGCCGAAATGCAAACGATAAAGTCTCAGTTGTTATCTTAATTCGTGTTAAAATTAATGTTACTATTCTTTTGTTTCATGAGAAATATTCATAAAAATACGGTGACGCATTCCACTTTTGAAATTCGTTAGAAAAATTCTAAATAACACGGAAATTGTATATATATTTTGCTATTGTGATCTTTACGTTTGCAAATTTCAATAGATAAAACTAGGTTATCTATAAATTAATATGAAACAAAAACTCAAAGACAAATCTTATAACCAGGAAATATGTATTATCATTACTGCTATAACTGCTTGACTGATAGAAATAAATACTAATAAATTATGTATTTTTCTCGAGAGTTTATGCATCGATTGAGATTTCAATATTTGTTTAAATCTGGAATTTTGTCGACATAGATTTTTTAAAAATTAATTGTTAATAATTAATTAATTATTTTAATTGCTAAATGTCATCGGGTAGATTTTCTAGCGAATTGCTGACTGTTTTGAAGTATTCTTATTAAATATCATTTAAAGTTATCTTCAAAAAAAATGTTCAAGATTTAGCACAGAAAAACACTTTTTCCACAACGAATTATATTTATAAATGAACAAAGAGCGATAAGTAGCGTCCCCTGTTCCCCCAGTGTCAATGTAGTACAGTCAGCTAGGGCGTCATCTATATTTATTGTGTGCTGGGCATGTGTTTACCTACGCGATACGCTCGCGCGTGTGTGTGTGGAGCCATATCGTTGCGCGAACGCAGCGGCATCGACGGTTCGCGCCCGCGAGAGAATTTTATAAAGTGAACGCGACTAACTTGTTCCGATGCCGTCACTGCGTTGTTGGAACACAGAGCTCGATTGTAAATTGTACTAATTGGGCATGGCGGTCTCCGGCAAAACATCAGCTACATCAATTCTCTTCCCGATGCTCACATTATACAACGTATGTATAATTAACCAGTGAAGTACCTGTGTAAGAATCAACGCGGTCACGACGCTTGTGTCAGAACTGGGTGCATAATGCACATGCGACTGTGTGTGTGAAGTGTTCGTAAATAGTCAGGGCTAGAGGAGTTCATCGTAATGGTTCTCGGTGTGAGTATGCTATCTGTATCTTTAATTAAACCTAGATATTGATTTGCAAAGCAATCTTGGTGTTGTATAACATTTTGAGGTTATGTTTGAAGGTGCTCTGTATAGGTACTTACTTACATTTAAACGAATAGAACGATTGATTTCTAACATTGTCTCAATTTTAGCCCTTCGCATTGAATGTTTTCGCGTAATACCATACCAGTCAACACGCATGTCATTGTCAAATTGTAAATTCATTAAACACTAATGCTTTTGTTCACACAAAATCCGGTTTTAAGTTAAGTACGATAAGATTATTTGAAAAAAATTAACTAGATGAACAGCTGATATTCTTATTTAATGTGAGCTATATAGGTACATGGAATTTATTCGTGTAGAACAGACATGAATAGCAGGGCCTCTCTATATTTAAACATGTTTTGCATAAGTACCTACACGTAGTTACAAAGATATGAGATAGGTAGTGCAAATGAGATTTTTTTTTATGAAATTATATTCGGGCTGTTATTACTACACTCGTATCAACTGAAAAAAAATATCAACATAGATAAGTACTCAATTTAATACGTTCTGTATACGTTCGGCAACTGTACGCTATCAGTAGCTCAAGATGCTAGGATTAGCTGAGATTTAAGTGGGATAGATAGGAAATGATAAGCAACCGCCAAAGTTATCTATCTAGATTAAGCCAGAGCAGTATGTAACAATATATCATAAAAATAATAGTAAGTTTGCTAAAAAATTCTCTAATCTGGGGTGTGTGGTGTCGTGAATGTCGATTAAGGGGCTTACAGGAGAATGGACCATATTGGGCCGTGTATCAAACGTCAAGCAGCATTTACTGAATGTAAGCCCGCATGGATAGATATCATCACCCAGCCATTTTCTGCCGCGACGCATTCTTGCGTTTTGGTTTGGAGGTTGGGATAGCTTTAAGTCGCCGACTATCGCCTCGACGACCCATCGGTCGGGCGTCCTCTAGGTGGCGGCACCGCGAGTCTTGTTTTAGTGTTGACCGCGGGAACCCGCCTACTCTGACCGGGTTTTGACCCCGGACGGAGATCGGATGTCGGGTGTAAGAGTGCAGGGTAGTCGTTTAGTGTGGCAGGGCCCTAAACTTGGGCCCCTGGTCTGCTCCCAACATCTGCAGATCGTCAAGTCCCACATACTCCGCGCGCCGCCTAAGCCGAGGCCTCATAGGAGGATCGGCCCCGGCCCGAAAAGAAAAAAAAAATCCTTAAGGAGTGTGGTACCATTCACGTTATGATGTCTGCGGGTTTGCGATACTACTTTACATCAGTCAACGATAACTTCGGAAAGAGGCTAGGTATAGGGAAATCGTTCAAGAACTTAAAATTTATAATAAGTTTAATAATATTCCTTTGGGATTATCTCCCAGTACGCGTCAGTAATTCCCGTTACCTATCCGTGTCAATACTCCAGTATATTATGTACTAGCGACCCTCCCTCGCTTCACTTCGGAAACTGTAATTTATTATTGATTCCTCTACTATTTAATGGATGTTATTATACATATAAACCTTCCTCTTTAATCACTCTATCTATTAAAAAAAACCGCATCATAATCCGTTGCGTAGTTTTAAAGATTTAAGCATACATAGGGGCATAAGTCTCAATTTCAAGAGTACTTTTTATGTTCGATTCGAAATTGAAACCGTTAAATAAAATTGTTGCCTAACTCCTCCCTCTCTCCCTTTTCTAGTTTGATCAGTTGTTTATCTCTAATTCATCTCGGAGCTTATTGCTAGATATCATGTAAAGATGGGTCAAGAAAGAAAATTTAACAAGAAGTGTTAACAGTATTTGAGAAAATTCGCGTAGTAATGTTTATGTGATACAGTAACTACTTAATACTAGTTTGGTCATTAGGTAAACTGGAATTGTATGCAAAAAAAATGTATTGAATCAAAGTACTTTTAAATTTAAAATAACAATGGGAAAATATGGCACTGTCGTTCTGTGCCTTATTACGAAGCAGTTCTGTTTCTATTTTTATGTCGTCATACGCGAGCTTCTTTGAGCAGCAAATATTATTACTATCCGCAAAAATATCGATCCGACGCCCTTCACCTCTCTACTACGTCATCGTTTTCCCTCAAGCCATGTTGTAGTGACGTCACTCATTGATGACGAAACTTTTTAAATCGTATAATACGCATGCGCAAGGATTTCCCTAAATTTAGACGGCGTTTGTGTCGTCACCAATAACACCCCCAAGACGCTACGTAACTTTTATGTATCAATTCTTATAGATCATTTTTATACCACTAATTTTATGTAAATGGTAATTGTTTTTCTGCATTGAATTAAAATGATTATCATATAATATCTTTAATATTATTATTATTATAATCCAGAGATATGATAAAAAAAACACCTGCTTATAGCGAAGAGAATGTGTTACTGTTATTAATAAACGCGTTCATTGATATATCGAGGAAGGTTTTTTTATGTTCGCTACCACCTTTTGTGTCGTATTCGATTGGTTTACCTAGTCACGTAAAAGTTTCTTGCCAAGAAACTGGACTAACCTTTTCAGAGGACTTACTTGCTACTCTCAAATAATAATAAATAAACAGAGTCCTCCCTGAGTACAAACCTCGTCGAACTTAAGGAAACATGCGGAAAGTTGTTCAATCTGAAATAAAAAAAACACATAATCCAGTCTTATGGGTTTCGAGATATTTTAATTTAAATTTTTGCTTGTATCGCATCGGTCTAGAATAGCGCCATCCCGTCTAATTACGTGGGTATCTTAAAAGACTTCTAATAGGTTTACCGGAAAATATTCGGCAGCACTATTTGAGTTTTTATAATATCAACGCATTGAGGTTGCCAACCCTTTAGGCTCATTACGACAAATCGACACCACGAATAATCGAAATGATATTTTAAGTATTGAAGTCACGGCCTAAAGGATAAGTTGTTCGGTGCATTCGTGTTGAGCAATGCACCGGTGTTCGAATCCCAGGCGGGTACCAATTTTTCTAATGAAATACGTACTCAATAAATGTTCGCGATTGACTTCGGAGGTGAAGGAATAACATCGTGTGATAAAAATCAAACCCGCAAGATTATAATTTGCGTAATTACTAGTGGTAGGACCTCTTGTGAGCCCGCGCGGGTAGGTGCCACCACACTGCCTATTTCTGCCGTGAAGCAGTAATGCGTTTCGGTTTGAAGGGTGGGGGAGCCGTTGTAACTATACTTGAGACCTTAGAACTCATATCTCAAGGTGGGTGACACATTTACGCTGTGGATGTCTATGGGCTCCTGTAACCACTTAACACCAGGTGGGCTGTGGGCTCGTCCACCCATCTAAGCAATAAAAAAATTAAATAAAAAACATCAAGCATGAGAGCTTATTCCGAAGTCGGATAGTATAAATGAAAATTATTAGACGAGACCTTGGATGAACAGTGGTTTGAATGATAAATGGAGGTGACTGAATCAACTCAAACAGCTCGTCAGATTAAGCGAGTCACAATAAAGAGCGGGAGGTTATCTAATAAATTATATATAATAAAGAATTAAATGAATCACATAATTAAAACTGTAATTTTTGCTATATAGGTACCTACCTACTTTCAACAAAGTCACGAGCAAGTAAAGAATTTGAATGCACACGCGTATTGTTAGTATTCAAATCAAACTAAAGGATACTCTATGAAAATTCTGCCCAAATATTAAGGTCTTTTTACTATCTTAAACCTTCTTATTTATAATACTATTTTAAACCTCTCAATAACCTTATCCTGGTTTGTTTATCTTAAGCGTACCATTTTGAAGGATGGCTTATGTAGACAGACGGCGGTGAAACTATAAGCCAAACCAAGAATATTTTTTTTAAGTGTTTTAGTATGAATTTAAATTATTCATAGTATCTCGTTTTAGGATGCTAAAACTAAGAATTGATTAAATCAACTTATTGCAAAAATTTAGATACCGTGCCATCTTACGCAATTCAATAGTAAAACTCGCATTTTGCACACCTAGACCATTAAACTAGTTTTCGGAAAAGAATGGCACCATTATCAGGGTTATCAGGTTCATTACTTGGTTAGTTTCACTTACTCCCGCAACACATTACTTCTCCCACCGACAGATGTCGTTCAATAAACCCTCGCGTAACTTTGACACTCAACATGGCGTCCCATGCAGTTGTCGTATATATTGCGCAGCGGCGCAAACCGTGTTCTCACTAGTTTTATTTTTCCTATATTTGAGTTTTACAAAATACTGATTAAATTTTTGTTCGAAATGCACACTGCACACAATCAGGTAATCATTTTTACTAGTGACTAGGTAACACTTATCATGATAGTTCATTTGGTAAAATGCCTGCGTAAAACTATTGATTTAATGAAATGTTTTGATGGAAAAGTAAAAAGCATTACCATAAAAAATTATAATTTTCGTGTTTGCTAAAAAACTTGTATCAACATTTCAGTGCTAAAAATGGTTGCGATTATTAGAACTGGAAATAAAGTACATGACGTAGTAGCCGACTAATAAAACTGGTGCAATAAATGGTGCAATGCGTTGCTGGGCAACGCTATGCATTATCAAAGACTAGGTATACTATAGATAGCATATTCTAGAATGATGATTTATTGATTTAAAAATGTTGATACTTTATTTCTAATGTTTTGTTTAAAGTCAAGAACTCAGTAATGCCAGTAAATATGTGTCTTACGTCATTACTGTGGAAAATTTAAACTGTGAATAATATTTAGATTAGTGATTACTTGTACTCGTACTCGTTCTCGTTGCTTAATATTAGACATTCAACAGATATGCAATTCAATTTGATTCGGAAAATGAAAATACTCAAATTAATTTTCATGAATTTTACAATTTAAGGGCTCTATGTCGTACTAATGGCAAAGTTCACCATAACTGTAACTTGACAAACAACGTCACTGTATGAATTAAGTTCCAGTATATTTCATCGAATCCAAAAAAATCGAATAATAAATGAGGTTAACTAAACGTTTACCAAAATATGTAATTGTATTTTAGAGTTTGGTTTTGGTTTCGATCTCTGGTTGGATTTTGTTGTAGTACGGTAGTAGATGTCATAGTTTCTTATTACACTTGTGTTTGTTCTTAATAAGAGTAAAGCAGAGATTAATATCGAACTCAATCGAACGAAAACTCTTTTTGTACTTAATAAGCTATAACCGGTCTTAATGATTACTTTTCTATTAATAGTTACAAAGTAAGTATAAGAATATAAATTAAATGATACTAAAATTTTTATTTCTTTTGTTACAGATTGTACTATCTGCTTCATTAGATTATGGTACAATATATGCTGTTTACCTTCAGTAGTCAAATAGTTTGGACATGGATCCAATTTTAGAAAATGAATCTGCCACCACCGAGTCTCCAACCAAACATGGAAAAACAAAACACAAAAATAAGAAGAAGAAAAATCAAGTCGAACCACCAAATGAAAATCAAACCATTGTGGGGGAAAGGAAGAAGTTTCTTGTTACGACATTATCCACATCTGATGAAAAGGTTCCTTCCAGTAGTGTAGCAGAAAGCAATGTACATACAGTCCATTTTGGGACTAGAGGTGTTGAATCCCAAAGGCCTCATGTGAGATCTATTTTTAAAGATCGTTCTGTAGAAACAGCTCGTCCTTCGAGTGCAGATAGAGATTCTAGTAGCAAAGAATATGAAACGTTCCACGGAACCTCATCTAGTCCAAAAAGTTCTATTTTTGATATATTTCGCATTAGAAGAAAAAGCGATGCTAAAAAGGCATCAAAACAACAACAATCAAAGACGACCGAAAACCAAGAGATCTCAAAAGATGATCAAAACTTAGTCGACACTAATAAAGATTCACATAAAAAATACTATCATACCGTGACGGGTGCTTCTTCGAGAAAATATAGTCCTATAACTAGGGTAATGGACATTTTCAGAAGTAAACCGCATTCTGAAAATAATCAAACTCCTGCAGATGCAGCGAAAAAGAAAAATTCCAAAGAAGTTCGACGTTCCTCAATTGGGACTACGTCTCCTACTTATCATAAAAATTCATATGCTTCTCTCGACCCTGTACAAGCCAAGCAATTATTTCGAGAAGTTAGAGGGCTTCCTAAGTATGATCCATATTTATCGATTGTACAAATATCTATCGGAGGTAGAGACAAAACAAGACTTTTGTTAAATTTTTTCAAATATCATAAATGTTACGAGATGTTACCTAAATCAGCAAAAGTTATAATTTTTGATACCCAATTTTATGTCCGTAAGACATTTCCTACTTTAATATCACACGGGATACGTTCTGCACCATTATGGGATGCAAGTAAGAAACTACTCGTTGGTATGATTACGGTAACAGACTTTATTAGAATACTACTTCATCTACACAACGAAAATTTACCTGTTGAAAACTTGGAAAGTCATACTCTTCATAGTTGGAGGAAAATATTACGGCACACTAGAAAGCCATTATGTAGTGTATCACCTGATCAATCTCTACATGATGCAATAAATTTACTAACAAAGAATCGTGTTCATCGATTGTTAATGGTTGACCCAGCGAATGGCGATGTTTTATATATTTTATCTCATAAGCGAATATTGAGGTTCCTTTTCGTGTATCTCAATGAATTCCCTGAATTAACGTTCTTTCATAGAACTTTGATGGAATTAAAAATAGGCACATATGATGATATCGTTTCAGTGACAGATAGCACTACTATACAAACAGCCTTTCAATTATTACTAGATAAAGATGTTTCGGCCCTTCCAATTTTGGATGAAAATGGAACATTGATCGATGTGTACGCAAAATACGAAGTATTAAACTTAGTAAGCGAAAAGCTATATTCAAATTTATCATTGACAATAGGAGACGTTAGAACCAAGAAGAAAGACTGGGAAGAAAAATTACAAAAATGTCGTTCTAGTATCACTTTATATGAGGCCTTAGAAGTAATAGTTAGAACTGAAAGCCATCGACTGTTATTAGTGAACAAAGATGATATGTTAATAGGTATTGTATCTCTATCAGACATATTAGTTTATTTGAATAGAATTATTCCTTCCGAAAAGAAAATTTCCTCACTACAAGAAATATTTCGACCTCTAGAAGAAAATAAAGTACCAGAGTCCTCAAAGGAAAATGAAAGTGACACAATTTCTATAGAAGTCCCAGTTTTAGGGAACCAAGCAGTTCCAGAAGTAAATGAAGAAAAAACTGCGGAGAATGATGATACCGGTGAAGTTTCATGTAATGTCGAATGTGTTGATGCAGAAACGACTGCAGACGGAAACGTTGAAAAAAGCCTCGAAAATGATATTTGTAATGATTGTGATGATGCAGAAATGAATATAGATACTCCCGTAGTCCAATGTTCTAGTAATAATTAAAATGTTCATGTCTAAAGTAGAAAAAATGTATTCCAAAGAAATTGTGATAGGTGGAACCGCCGAATCAATATAATAAATTATTAATCTCAGCTTAGGCTTGTGTTAACATTGTGATCTTACATTGTACTCAAAAAATAGTTGCGTTAAACCACGTGATTGCCTTAAACATTATTTAATTCATAAAACATTGCTAAAACTCAATAAATTATTTTAGCACTAGCGATTTTGTTTGCTTAATAAATAATCGTTTCGGGAACTTACAACACAAGATGCACAGATTAATTTAACTGTAAATGAGTTTTGTTTGGAAATGTTTTCTTTATTTTTATTGCCTTTTGTGGCCGACGACCGTATTACCCATCTGATGTTTGTCGTAAGTATTTACTGTCGCTCATGGACATCAGTAATGCCAGGGGCACAACATAAGCTATGCCTACGGCTAAGAACTTTTGATTTAATTGTAATGCTATTGTTACCATCAATATCCCACTAATGTGGAATTTAAAATTTCTATCAATCGTAATCGATTGATAGAAATTTTAAATTATATGTTTCATTGTGACGTGAGTACCTAATATATCCCTTGCCCAATACAATATTTGTCCAAAGTAATCCGTTATCTCTAATCTAAATTTGGATTTGAAATTATTGGACATAAATTTTTAGAATAGTCTAATATGATCATATTAAAAATACTTCTTTTTTAATGTACCATATTTTGGCAACATAATTTGTTGATTATATGTCTTTGGCCCAGATATTTTCCATATAATATAATAAGTTCCCAGCAATGTTTTTATGTAGCGAGATGCAGTGTGACCGGTGCGGTGGTCGGATCGTGTCGTTGAGCACCAGACTGAACCCGGAAAAACCACTACATCAAGGTCGCATATTTCACTTTTATTGTTTAAATTTATTTACCTGCTATTTAAATTATCCAAAATACTAAACGAGTTGACATAAACTGTGACACAAAGTGTGGAATATTGGTTTGAATCTTTTTTTTTTTTGATAATTTTTTGTTTTTGTATTTCCATTCTATACCGTTAGTGATTGAACAACTATCGATTTCTTTAGTCATTGAATAACTGTCTTTTATTCGTGATATTAATAAGTGCATGATCCGGAAAAAAAAATGATTTGGTATATTTTGCTTCCTTAATAATTGTTAGTTGAAAATGTAGCATAGTCAAACATACATACAATATGCAATAATTTGTAAGTAACTTTGATATGCAGTCGAATCTAAAAAAGTATTGTATGCCACGATGACAGTAATAGATGCTGGTCACATTAACATAAGAAAAAGAACCAGTAGCGGCCCACTCGTGAGAAAACCGGTAAGTTGGCACTGGATAAGTAAATATGGAAGCTTGTTGCGAGCTTGTGAGACGAATCTGCCTACACATCGCATCGGCTGCCTGTCGCAACACACACACAACAAATACATCGAACGCTATATGGATCGGCGTTACGTAAAATGTTTGCACATTGATAACTGTTTTATCATTTGTTACTTCGTTATTTGGTTTGTAGTAAAACTGATAATGTAATATTTGTTTCTGTGAGATGGGACCGTCGAGCTACTTCTGAATTATTTGTTGATTTGATTATGTGAACACTACATGTTTTATGCATGTCAAGATAAGACATAAATACTTTATGATTTTATTTAATTTCGAACGTAGGTAGCTAAGACGTCAACCGTTGCGCCAATCAATTATTGCCTTGCCAATTATTCTGCACTTTCTACAATGGTTTTATTTTTGAGAAATGTATATTTTTTAAATGTATTATTTCGTTATAATTTTTTGCAACATCATGTTTGTCTTTCTTTGTCAATGCCTTTACTAGTGGTAGGACCTCTTGTGAGTCCGCGCGGGTGGGTACCACCACCCTGCCTGTTTCTGCCGTGAAGCAGTAATGCGTTTCGGTTTGAAGGGTGGGGCAGCCGTTGTAACTATACTGAGATCTTAGAACTTATATATCAAGGTGGGTGGCGCATTTGCGCTGTAGATGTCAATGGGCTCCAGTAACCATTTAACACCAGGTGGGCGGTGAGCTCGTCCACCCATCTAAGCAATAAAAAAAAAAACTGATTTTAGTGGTAATTAAAAAATAAGCTAATTCCACATTTCAGACTCACTCGATATCATTATGAGTATACTTGTAAGTAGAAACATATTAATGTAGGTACGGTTCTCGTAATAGTTAGTATTTAAACGACACTAACGTACCTACATAAAACTATCATCCTTGGAAACAGAACAACATTAATTTAACTTCAAAAAAAAACAGTTACAAGTTTTTTCGCATTTGCATTACTAAATCATCGATGTGTTTGTTGCACATTGATGTATCACGAATAAACAATAAATTCAAAATAGAAAATTCAAAATGTTGCTGAATTCTGCCTGATGCATTCCTTGGGTTAAAAGGAATCACAACAAAAAAAAAAAAGTGGTAATGTTTTGGAGATATTTTTATTGGCGTACAAAGATAAACAGAAGTGGCCGTGTTCTAATGGGAACCATACCTGGTTTTGTCGTTTCGAAAGTCTGTGGTTCTTAAAAAATTGTACCTATTCGCTAGTAACCTAAGGTACTATTCCGGCTTTTTTTTAAGGTGATAGTGTGCAAGTGCTTCACAGAATCTACCACCGGAGTCGAATCACTTTTATAAATAGGTACCATCCGAATAAGTGTACATGAACATTTTGTAAAATTATTTATATCGGGTTATAAAAATTAAACAACAAGCAACGAAGCTAACTCACAATTTTTACATACAGGCTAACGAACACTTAAATCCGTTATATGCGTTTAAGAGTTTGCCTGTAAGGGAGTTTTATATACTTGCCAATACTTTTAGTATACCTTCAGTGAAAGTTGTATGCTGTATGCTGCATAGATTAATAGTGATCAAAACTCGTAGACAGTGTTCGAAATAAAACAATTAACCAAAGCTATAGATCTTTCCCAGTATTATAACGCTCTTAGACAACCCACAAGCAAGAAACTCAGCGTGCTGATGTATGGATTAGGTTGCACATCGAAGTCTTTTCCGAGTTCGAAGAAGACTTTACCAGAGTCAGTCGGATGATCCAGCCTTTATACATTACAATTGATACGTACACCTCAAGTCTTAAGACTAGAGGATCCGGTAAACATTTTATAAACAATACGACCGTAAGTAAGTACGCCGGCCATCACGAGACAAAGAAAATGAATTCACGTGGTACGTGTCGTGTCGTCATGTGATGGGTGCCTAAACAATACGATATGAACGTCCAGCTATTTATTCATTTTGCATAGAATTGAACTCTCACTTGCTTTAAAATTATGACTATTTCCTCTGATACATTTGTGGAAGATATAGGCAGATTATTTGTTTCTTTTTTCAATTACTACTATTATTTATATTTATAAATTCCTTGACTGTAATACGAGCTATTCACACGGGAGCCTAGAGACGAAACAAACTTAGAATCTTCGTTATTGGTCCGAATATTGCTTAATAATAAATGCAAATTAGGATACTGCTCGATCAAACAGAGGTCACGTGGTGGACAATCGTCTATATTTCTAGATTAGGTGGACCGTTCATATGTTGCAAAATATATTTTCAAGGTCGACCGTAATGTTTGCATTCGTTTGCATGCAACAGATGAGCTCCGCTGCCTTACTGTATTTATCTGTACCCGTTTAATTTAACACGCAATTGCGATGCACTAGATGACCTGACTAGATTCTCTTTGTTATACAAATAAAGTAAAACTCATCCAATCCAAATATACGTTAATAATTCCATAGTAGGTACTCTACACAATGAGTGATTGGATTATGTTCAAGAACTAAATTTTATAGATCGCGATTTCGCATGGAAGATTATTTTAGTGTTAAAATAAGAAGTGGAATTATCGTAGTGATGTCCATGGACTACAATAACAATCTTAACACCAGGTAAGCCGTTAGTTTTTCTGACCATATACTGTGTTGAACAAGTATATAGGAGTCAAGTGCATGTCTTAAGGTCTGATAACTTTTACCCATTACAAATACTTTATCTTCAAAGTAGAAAAGGAAAACCGTAAATTTTTTTGCTTTTCTATTTATTTAATAATGTAACGTATTAGTTGCATTTTAGTGCCATAAAATTTAAACATGACGAAATATTTATTTTGGTATGGCAATAAAAATATGCAAGTTAAATTTATAATGGTTTGAAAGTAAATGCGAGTTTTAGTTTGTCTGGGAGACGTTTAAAATGTTTCACAATAATGTTATGTCGAGTGAGAGTCGTGAGATTTTACGAGTCATTGAAGACACAATTTGAAAACGTTACCAAAGAGAATGGATTGATTACTATTTAACTTCTACGATTATGTTTGCTGTAACAAAAACGGCTTAATGTCGACATATTGAATTCGACGAGCTCCCTGTATTTTATTCATTACTAGAAAATCAAGGCCAAGCTTCTTTGTGTATTTCCCAAGGAATTAAATGCACTTATTTGTTGAAAGGACTCGTGCGTCACAATTCGTACAAAGATGCCAGAAACCTCGTCTGAACTGCCAACAGTTTCAACTATAGTAGATAAATAAACCTTCTTTCGGACCAAAATTTTCTTTATTTAATCTGTATATATAATGTATCTATGTAATCTGTACATTATAGCTACTTTTGATGTCCCAAATTTTTTTAAGTAGATATGTATATTCATCGATAAAATGAAACCGACCATAAAATACAAATGGACGCGTGTGCATTGTTAGAGAATCTGGTTTTCTGTATAAAATTAATGTTTTAAATGAAAATACATTCAAATGCAGGAGTGTCCACAGATATATGTATATAATATTTATCAACGTTTTTCAAGGTCATTGAAAGAGATTGTGATTTGGATGTATTCTCACAATATAAACGATTCAAGTTGATACTTGCATTTTATAAAAACTATGCAATAATCTGCATTTCGGAATATTGTATTTTAAATAATTATTAATAATTCATTTTGATTTAATGCATATTTAAATAGTTTTAAGACGTTGATAAAAACGACTGTGTTATTGAAAGTATTTTTTTCAACGCTCACTTGCAAATTTGAAATATATTCATTGAATTGAATAGTTGATGCAAATATCCCTTGTATTTTTAAGATTATTACTTAATTACTTAATTTTTTCATGAACAACTTTCATAATTAAATAATAACATCGT